TAAAATAAAATAAAATGAAATGAATGAACTTAAATAAAATTAAAATCAATTAAATTAAGTTATATTAGATTAAATTAAAAAAAAAATTAAAATTAAGTTAAATTTCATAATATAAAATAAAAAAAGAAATTAAATTAAATTGAACTTGTAAAAATTAAAAAAAAAAAACAGGAAATTTCAGAAAGTTGAAAAATATACTAAACTTAATTAATAAAACCAAAATTTAAGTGACAAATTAAAGAAAATTTAAATCGAAAATAAGTAAAAAAACGTAAGTAGTATCTCAGAGCATAACATTTGTTTCTTTTCAACGAAAGCTGTTGAAGGCCAAACAAAATTTGAAATGCAAACAAGTTGATGTCAAAACATAATATGGTTTGAGTGGGTGGACGAAATACACTCTCAAATTATGTCAATAATAATAAAGTAGCATATCACCTCATATTCGCCGAAAAATAGAAAATCGATAAATAAAGTGACACTTAAAATGCATTCAAAAAGGAACGAACAACTAGCATGCAAACAAGTAAATACTTAAAATTATCTTATCCGCTTATGCCAAGCAATCATATGTAGTAATATGAAGGTACATACATATAAATAATTTTATTCTCATATTTCGGTTGTCACTTTTTCATTATTTGCCGGTCAAGGTCAGGTAGTGGCGTCAGCCTTCCATTCAGAAAGTTTTTCCAAAACGAATTCTTACTTATCATGTAATTACACACGTGTGTGTTGCTGCATATAATTGAGTGGCAGGTGGGTGTGCATTTATACAAGGTATATTGACTTTTAACTTACAATTAAGAAATCTAAATCAATAAATCTATATAATAAATTTACTAACTAGCTACATAATGAAAAGACCTCACGTTGAGAAAAGTTATTTGTATTTGAAAAAAAGTTATAAAGAAACTTTCATTAGTGTAATATTTTTTAATATTTATTGATTATTTAAAAAAAAACTCTTATTATTGAAAATATTTTAATTTATTCCTTTGAACTTTTTTCTAATCGATATAAAATTAACGTGCGTTTTAGTGGATTCAGGGTCAAGGTTTTATTTAATTATGCTTGTTAAATGTCTACTTTTCTTGCCTTGAAATTATCATATAACGGTCACATGCTTATTTCAATCGAATTGTGCTCTTTTTCAAATCGACAATCACCGAAGAAGTTGCGTGTATTTAAGCCTAATAATTTCTCAGCCAATTTATATTTTATTAATGATGTTTGTGTGAGTTTTCAGGTATAACATTATGTGTGGCTTCTAATAACTTGTGTTGGTAAAAATGTCCATCCAAACTAAACTCAAAAGTATATACCGTTAAATGTAATCAGTACAAAATGATATAATTTTTTTTTATTATTTTTATTTCTGCAACCTTTTCCCAGTACATATATTTTACCGAGGAGTACTTGGTTATGAAAACAAGACTCGCACCGAAGAAATGCCGCTCTACATAGGTTGGGATTATATAATTGAGAAAATGCCTGTTTCAAATATATGGATAACAGCTGTTTGTGTATTAGTGAATACGTAATGATTATGTTCTTTCAAATTTGACTTTCATTCGTTTCGATTCACTCACTATTCACAGTAGCCCATTTACTTGGTAAACTACCACCCATGGTATATCTAACCTTCTAATTCTTCGAATAATACCTTTTCTACTCGATATAACATTCAGACGCTCTACATGCTGTCTTTTCAGACAATAGACCCGCAGGATGCCTTCATGCTTAGAAATCACCTTGGTAAATTGAGCATGATTTCCATCAGCTCGCAGCAGAATTAAAAATTATCTCGGCGTATTTGAGATAAATTCCATGAGTTCCCGGAAGCGTAGGTAAATAAGAATATAAGTAAAATCCGGTTTTAATTTTCAAGTTTAGTTTTTTGCATTTTTTTCAGTATAATAATCCCTTAGTTTCTAGGGCCCAGTGAGAGAACGTAAGTTCTTTATAAGTCATACTCAAGTAGGTGGGCAATGAGAATTTGGGAATTTTAAACGTCTCGAAACCGTAAAAAAAAGAGCTTGGGCAATTAGAACTGACAGTCAGTCAAAGATTTGTAAAATATTCAAAATTTACAAATATGAAAGTTGTTTTTCGATATGTAATTTTGAAGAAGAAATCAAACGCAGGCAATTTAATGGTATGGTTAAGGATTAAGATTTATTTGTAAAGTTCCTAAAGCAGCTCGCTCAAATAAATGTCTGCCACGGCACCAATTTTCGGCCACTTTCTCAGCACTTGGGGCCGACGTCAGCCATAACGCCAGGATATGCTCCTCCAAGGCGTCAGACGTTTCGTGCTTATCTTCGTAGACAAGTGGCTTCATCTAACCCCAGAAAAAATAGACGATGTAGATAGAAATAGGTCACGTCAAAAACCTAAAAATAGCCCATCAAAAAAATGTTTGTTTCATTGGCTGACGGCGGTAGGCTTTATAACATGTGCATTGTTAGAGTCAAAACAAAAAGGAAAAAGTCTTCAAGCATGGCTATATTTAAGATTCAATAATTTGTTCATATATCGGGTGTACAACTTTGCTTCCGCCGTTTTTTTCCAAAATTAAAAGCTTTATTGCGAAGAAGTGCTTACAGATATATTTTTCAAAGTATGGTCTTCTCTAGCGACAACTTTCTCCCATCCATCCGGCAATTTGCAGATCCCGGCTCGAAAAAAGGAGTCCTCTTTTGACGCTATCCATGAATCAATCCATTTTTCCAATTCTTCGAAGGATTGAAAATGTTGATCTGCCAGGCCGTGTGCCATCGAACGGAATAGGTGGAAGTCAGAAGGGGCACATCTGGGGAATACGGCGGGTGGGGCAAGACTTCCCATTTCAGCGTTTTCAGGTACTTTTTTACCACTTTTGCGACGTGAGGACGAGCATTGCCGATGTCCTTCGGTTTCAACTCGTACGGCAGCCAGATTCCTTCTTTCTGAATCATGCCCAGGGCCTTGAGACGTTTTAAAATGGCTTGCTGACTCACTCGCAACGATTCGGCAAGCTGTTCTTGGGTTTGGCACGAATCTTCATCAAGCAATGCTTCTATTTGTTCATCTTTGAAGGTTTTTTCTCTTCCATCACCATGTTTGTTTTCGACATCGAAATCACCATTTTTAAAACATTGAAACTACTCCCGACACGTTCTTTCACTCAGAGCAGCATCACCGTAAGTTTCTCAGAGCATTCGATGCGCTTCAGCTGAATTTTTTTCTTGAATTGTAACAGAAAAGTATAACTTCCCGCAAATGGCGAGACTAGGCACATAAACGGATATTTTCGAGCGTGAATAATACGAAAGCAAGAACAACTGTCACTGAAACGGCGATGACAATTCGTTAGACACTGTCCACACTCACTTTAAAGGCATTATCATATTATATGTATTTCAACCAGCCTCAGCCGGTACAGCCACCTATCGGAAAACGGCGGAAGCAAAGTTGTATAAAATTCTCATTTAAAGTTTAAGTTGATTCAATTTGATTTCTATTTATTATTTTCGAAATCAACTTCAATTTCCACTTCTTTTAAGCATGTTTTTGTAGTCCCTGAACGAAGCATTTATTTTATCTTTGATTTTAACTCACTTTACAAGCCAATATGTGACCTAATTTTATTCAAAAATTCGATAAAAAATTATATTTTTTTAAATCATTCTTCATTCAGTGACAAATAAAATTCACCTACTTTTAGAAAAAATTAGCATTTTCGATTTCAGATAAAAATTCACATTGAAATTTTCATCAAATGTGGTCCACATATTCGACTTTTATATGTAAATAAAATAAATTTTATACTTTCTTTTATAACTTTTAAAAAAATTGGAGAAAATAAGCTTTTTCTTGGAGTTCAAGACCTATATAACTCCTTAAAAAACACCCTTTATTTCAGCGCAATTGTGCAAGGAGGCAGAAAATAATTTTATTAATTTACTATTTTTTGGTTGAGCAAATAATTAATTATAAAAATTTCTTAAATTCCCTATCAGTACTTGTAGTGTAATTTATAATATTAAATATTTCCGAACATTTGAAAATTTAATCCAGTCGCTTAAAAGATTGATATTTGAGAGCTCGGTTTGGGTTGTCGAAAATTAAAATTTTAAACTATTTTTAATGCGCTTAATTATAATTAGCTCACAATTTTTTTCTGTGTTGTTGGTGTTGTAACCACAAAAATAATTTCAAAATTTTCTTTCGAGAGTACTGCAAGAGTAATTGTATTTGGCTGGAAAAAAGTGTGCGTCGATCTGGTGTAAGGACCCGCCAGTCTTTTGGCGTTAAGTCGCCTCTTATAACAGTTAGGCGTGGGTAAGTTCTTGGGATTTCTTGAAGAAAAAATCATTGAAACTGATATTTCATTGAATCATTGAAACTGATGCTTCAATTATATGTCTTCTGTCTGCAAACTATCACCAGAAGCAATTAAAAATTTCCACCTTGAATACCTTAGATTTCGTCTTTTTGGTCGTGAGTTCTTCAATTCAAAGAATAAAAATCCTTTTAAGTGTATGTAGGTATTCCAACATTCGGGCCTCGCGCTCATGATATGCCATATTAAGTAGTCCCCATACATTTTCAAAAGCAAATTTAAAAACTCAAAAAAATTCCGCCCGCCCCTCAAAGTATGCAAATTCATCCATCATTTGCAATTTTTTTTTTTAATTATTCATATGCACTCGTGAAAGTATATTAACCGCAAATCCTTTATTTTTTCCACCGCACAGGTGCACACCCAACAAAAACACTTTTAAAACTTCACAAAGAATCTCATAAATTCCTTAAACGTCTCCATACGCAGTGTCACATCTCGCTCCGCCTTCATTTTCGCCGACCACTCCAACATCTTTTCCACCTCCACTCCATCATCTCGCCGCTGTGCTGGCGTCAATTGAGCCAGATAAGCGTCCACCTCACGCACAAAATCATTCATAAACTTAATTTGCTCTCGCGTCACCTGGCGCTGCATGCCATCCAAGCCGTTTCGCTTCAGCGCACGTTCAATCAAATAGTTTTCCGCACTAAACTGACGTCGTGGATTTGTGGTGTCATGGCGGCGTAGAATCGCCTCGAATTCCTGATAAATCAATGACTTGGCAATTAAATAAAACAAGCGATTCGCTGTGTTGTTACGCGCTGGCGGTTCCTCTTGCTCTTTGTCCATCACCTGACGCACGAAGTTCTCCATTATGCGACGCTCAGCCTTCATGAGTTCACTCTGCATCTGCGCCACCTCTTCATCGGCGAGCACGTTTTGCACCAAACGTCTGCTTTGCTGCAACTCGAAGTCGGTGAGCTTGAGATACTCCTCAATCATTGTGGTCAGCAATTGTTCACGTTGGGTGGACAGATCATTTACTGGTGTTGTCGCTGTAGTGCAGTTAATGAGCTGGGTGGAGCAACAGCGTGTTCACGGTTATTCATTTTCTGTTTTTCATTAATTTTTAAACAAACAAAAAATATATTTTGTTTACCTACCACTCTCGTCAGCAGCGCAATGCCCAGCAGCAATTTGAGACGATGACTTGTGGTGTTCATTGTATGGACTGCTTTTGTTGTTGTTCACCTGCGATTGTACTTTATGTGTGTATATACAATTTTTTTAACAAATACCTTAAATTTCAAATGTGTCTACATCGGAACTTAAAATAATAATGCGTTGAATTCGGAAATGTTGACTGTGAGAAAAGTCATGTGAAATGTAAATGTCGGTCATCAGCGATAACACACAACTCATTACATACTCTTACTCTTTTCTGTGAGTTGAGTTGGGAGTTTTTATTTTTTTATTTTTTATTCTGAAAGCTTATCGCTGAGTCGTTTGGGTCACAACGCTTGATTGTTTGTTGTTCGTCTTGATGATTAAATAAATGTTTATACCCAGCAAGAACGGGCTGATCGGTTCACAAATACACTCAAACCATTTCGGGCAGCACTAACACAAAAGCAAACATTTTTGTTAATCTTTCTCTTCTGAGCACATACAAATTGAAGGTGAAGGCAGTTGAAAGGGTAATCAATTTTATTTTAAGATCTAATTTTCGAGTAGAACGCCAGATAGCAGGGAATGAAAAAAAGTGAAAAATATGGATAAGGATCCTGTGGCAATAATATAATAAACTATTATCGATTAATTAACCACTTAAATTTATTTAACTCTTCACATTGTTTATATTTAAGAGCACTCCATATTGCACGGAAGATGCTGGAAATGGAGCAGGTGGAGTAGAATGGACGACTCTAATCTTGCGGCGGCAGCAGCAAACCACAAAAATATTCATCTATTCTTTGCGTGTCACAACCGCATTTAGACATTAACAACATTCCGATTTGAAAATTATTTTTTAAATTTACTTAGATGTTTTTATACTTCAAGGGAGCTGCGATTATGATGAAGGCGTTCGAGGTGCTGAGGAGCTGCGTCACTATTAAAGACTTCTGTATATGCGTTTTTAATTATAATATTTTGTTGATTTTTGAAAACGAATTTATTGTATATATGTATGGTAAATTATTGTCAAAGATGATTCCCTTCGGCATCAATGCTGTCGCTCATATGTGTTCGTCTTGTACAGCACTGCTGCCGTTTTTTTGCATCGGCTCTTGCTCAGCTGTGTTCTGTTTGTCCGATAAGAAAACGAAGAGAGAACGACGCACACGTATACATGCTAATGTATACATCACATTAGTCATTTCGGCCTTAAGAAAGTGATGGGAAAATCGTTTTACGAGCTGACGGGCTATATCAACTTGCATTCATGACATATGTAGGCTCAAATGATCGGAAGCCCTGTAGCAGAGATGACATACAGAGAGAGAACTACTAATCAGATTTTGGCACTTGAAAGAGAATAGCAATTAAAAGAATTGCGTCTCCTGCTCTCTGGGTGCAAGAATGTTATTTTTAAAAATTAAAGATAAATTTAAAGATCTAGTAACAAAATCGCCCTCAAGCCCGCGTCCAACTACCAAATATAACGAGGAGAAAGAAATTAATGATCAGCCTACATTTAGTTTTGTCAGCACACTTATTCACGAAAGGCTCAAAAGGCTTATCTATGACATCGTAGCAGGTCATAAATCGTTTATTTACACGTATGAGCTCAAATGTAACCTGAAGTCCGCTGTATGGGACTTTAAAGTTGTAACAAAACCAATAAAAGTTGTTCGCCACGAAGCACTTCCAAGCAAAGGGTTGACTGGGTTTTTGTCACGTTCGTGTTAAGAGACAACATTTCACTAATTCACGCCAATACTTCGACGGAAGGTAAGAACGACGTGACTAGAGATGCCTCTTATGAGCACCAGTACTTAACGATTGTAACTTTAGAGAGACAAGAGTAGGTGTACGCCGTACAAAAGATAGGAAATGAATTACTATACTACTTACAAAACATCTCCAAAAGGGTCAGCTTCAGGTGGAAAATCTCGTGTGTAGTACGAGATTCTGGTATAATAAAATTCCCTTAGTTATATCGTTGCTTCTTCCAGAACTCACACTCAATGGATCATCAGCAAGCCCAACAGCCAAACGGTTTTCTACTCGACTCTTGTATGAGATCACCAATCAGTAAGTTGGTACATTAAGGCAACTGTGGATGGTATTTCGAACTCTCTACGTATAGTCGCCAATGAAACCAAAGGTGAGAGAAATTCTGCCTAACTCTCAACGCTGCGATCCAGCGGAACGCGCGGTGTATGGCAGATATACCGAAAGTTGAGGAGGGAAATGGGAGAACAAAATGCCTGAGTATTAAAAGCTTGTGAAACTGGCAAATTAAAGTCGACAATTATTGAAGTTGGAACAAACGTATGAGTCGACTACGATGGAGTTTTAACAGCGGTTGCCCGTTTTTAGAGTAACAAGGAAGCGGGAGCTGATGGCTACCCGATATCACGACGCTAGCTAGGCCATGTGGTTCGTGTGAATGAAAGTGTTTGAGCTTTTAAAGTATTCGATACACAGCCTGCCAGAGGAAGCAGAGGATGGGAAAGACCTCCACTCCGTTGGAAAGACAAGGTGGCACTGGTTTCTCTTCGTATTTCCAACTGGCGCCAAACAGCGAAGAAAAGATCCGAATGGCCCGCTATTATTGATTCGGCTATAGTTCCGTAAGCGATGCCCATGCCAGTGAGGAAAATGAATTCAAAATTTGCGCTTTATTTTGAAAAAAAGAAAAATCCTTTCAATATCGCATATAAGGCCTCACCTTGCGTATTATATGAAAGACTAACTGTCGCCGTCAGCAAACAGATGGGATCTTAACAGTGTGACTTACAGCTTTGACCTCACCAACTTTAATTTAAAAATATTATTTGTATATTTGTATGTAATTATTGAGGGTTTTTGCTTATTTCAGCAGCTTAATTAAACTTTCTAAAAAAATTTAATTTTCAATTTTGTGGCAACGCCATAATAAACACAGTTTTGATATCTTTTACTTTTTAATTCATTTTAGCAATTTAAACGGCGCAAAATTTTTACTCTAAATAAAAATATTTATTGCATTACATGTATATTACATATTTTAAAAAAATTTTTTTTTTTTTTTTTTTTTTTTGAAAAGTGGTAACCTTCTTTTAGAAATATCTGCTACTTTAGCTGGTTTAAATCACGAATTCTTTCAATAATAATTTTATTACATATCTTCTTACTTAAGAATATGTATGCATTACTTTATTTTATTTCAACAGGTGGCAACTCCAGTGCATATGCATATATAAATTTTATCATTTTATGTTATATTAATATTTTTTTAATAATACGAATTATAGTATTAATTATAAACATTTTATATATTTATTTATTTTAATTAAGTATGGCAACCCTGTTGAATGTTGTTTAGTTATCTGTTTATAAATAAACTCAAAGTAAATTCCAAATTGTCTTATTTACGATTCAAAAATACCCGCTCATCAGAGCTAATCTTGAGCCCGAGTGCTAATAAGCTGTAAAGTATATATGAATCAATACTTTAAAAGTCCGTCTGACATACGTACATACGTGTAGATACCACATACATACCGCACAGACAAGCGCCAAACATGGAAACTCACCAAACGCTGCTTTTGTAGCTTAAAGGGTATAACTAATAAAGATTCGCTCAAAGTTCACATATACATACACATATACATACATATACATACGTACATACAACTGCACATACGCATTTACTTACAATGAAAAAGACATTTCAATTGATTAAAGAAAAAAGATCAATAGTTTGTGCTCATCATTTGAAGCGATAAGAAGTCTACAAGCGTCGTGAAGCTGAGCTAAAATGAAGCTAAGAAAAATGTCGCGTCAAAGTATTAATATATACATCGGAGCGTTCTTGCTTGTGTGTGGTGTAAGTGAAAATAAATATTAATTGTATTTTAAAAATAAAAATAAAAATTGTTGAACCCACACCCTAATCCATTAACATCTCATCCTCACTAGCTCATCACCATCAATGCCGCCGCAGACAGCTCCGAAGAGCTGAACAACAGCGCGGATACGCCGCAAGATCTTGCACGCGCTCAACTACTTGACGCCATAACGGAAGATTATCTCACACTACTCGACTTTGAGCTGTCGAAGAGCCAAGACATCGTGCAAAGCGTGCTGGACGATGACAAACTGCTGGTGCCGCATAGCGAAATCTTTCAAAAGAAGAAAATGCAATTGAAAATCTACATTGACCTGGTCACAGAGAAACAGCAGAAGAAGCTGCCACCACGGACGCAGAAGCCGGCACGTTTCTTTTATATTTTCAGTAAATCGTTGTTGTATAAAGACTTCATAGGCATGATTGCACGGTTGGAGCCCACAGATCGTTATGATGCCTTGATTGATGACACGTTCATGGATAATGGGCTTGGAGAGTTTGTAGATGCTGTGATGGAGAAACGCAATGCTTTGGTTGCGAAGAGCGTGCGTCTCATTCATGAATATTTGAAAGGTTTGCCAGCGGAACAGCAACGAAAAGCGATGGCTTACAAACTCTCCGATTGGGCGTTGAAAATGAAACAGGCTGAAGAGGTCACTGAGAAGATGGCTAACTTCAGGGAATTCCTACGATATTTCTACTTGGAAGCCACAATAACTGCTGATAAGGCGGAGTTGTAGAATAAGAATTCTAGGAAAATTCTAGGAAAACGAAAACCTTGGATTTAACTTCTGAATATTTATCACTTAATAGTAAAATTATTATTTGTATGACTCTGAAGACGCATAAAATCTTTGTTGTTTCCTATTAATTCTTTGCTTTCTGTGATCTCCAAAACCACCCTACAGTGGGAATTTGGCCGTTTGTTTCGATGGTTCCTGCAAAGGTTTGTACGAAACAATCTTTCGGAAAGTGCACCAAGCACTCGATTTATTTGAATTCTCTTGTAAGTATACACTTTTAATGGGACTAACAGCACGGCATATATTTATGGTTGTTTTTAGTTTAGTCTAGAATCTGGTGGCCAGCGATCTGTTATATTGGATTCCCTGAAGCCTGACTAAGACCCATTGAGATGCTAGAAATACTTGGCCATCGCACTAAGAATATCCAGCCACTTCGATTCTCTAAATCACCTCATTAGAGGAGAGACTTTGACGTCGGCTAACTTCTAAAGATCATCCAACAATAGGTTCCTAAAATTCCGAGACCTTGCACTGCTCAAAGCAGGAGATATGTGATAGTTCGGTCCTTCTCATCTTTCTTGCAGCTTTTGCAGCATCTTCTATCGGAAGCATCTAGTCTTTCCACATGTCGTTCTATCGAACATCTGTTACTTAGAATATCTACCCTCTTTTTGAGGAATATATATCTCGTCCATTTTCTGCACAGATAAGCGATAGTCCAGCTATAGTTCCTCTCACTTGAAACTAAGTTTTAGGGGAAGTGGGAAGATCTCCTCCAAAAAAGTCGTTAAAACACATATATATATACAATATATGTACAAAAAACTATAAGAACCTTGAAACAGTTTTTAGATACAAGAAATTGGATGGATAGATCAAACCCTGGGCTTGAAGATAGATCGGAGAAGTTACTCTCATTTGTTTGAAGAAATCCGTGTCGTTTCCTCATTCGACTGCCTGTACATTTTTCAATCCGAATACAACTCTGATTAGACCCAAAGAAGACACTGACAACAAAAATATCTTGCCACTAGATGGCATGCCCTGGCGAAGAGGCAAAGAAACGTTGCATGCAACCTACAAGGTGATTAGTTGGCCCATCAGAAACTAGGTCACCTCGAGTTGGGCACCATGACTACGGAAAAGCAGATTATGAAGCTTAACACGGAACCTCCAGATATCTGTTTTACAACACTTGCCCAATGTTTACAGTTAGTGAGCACGAAATTATGCCGTGAAGCAATGCCTGCTGCTTGATTTTGCGTTCTCCAACACAGTTTCCCTAGCCGCGGTGGCCGATTGCGATCACTTCTTTGAGAAAAACCACGGTTCTTAAACTTTTCCCTTAAATGATAGCTTGCGTCCTTGCCTGTGTGGCACACAGCGCAGTTTCTTTTTGAAAGTAAACATTGTCCAGATCAATATCCGATTCCGACCATAAAAAAATATTTATCATCTATCGATAGCACAATTTATTCATCATGACTATGGGTTCGGCCTCATTTTCAAAAAGTTAAGTTCCAATGATCCCGACAGATCACAACGCACTCCAAACAGTTATACATTGAGGATGAAGAGGCATTTAACAATAAATTTTGGGATTTCCGAGCCCCAATGCGACAGTTTTGCTTATTGACGTAGCCAGCTCATTTTCATGCGTTTCCAGAAAACCAATCAGCAAAGACACAGCGCTGTTGGTGATCGGCTAGCTTGAGTTCTTGTATCAACTGAACTTTATACGCCTTAAGACCGAAGTCTTTATGCAGACCACGGTGTAATGGCAAAACCCTTCATTATTGACTACCATACACTGAAAGCATGGTTTGAATAAAAAAGAGTTGAAATAAAAAATTTTGAGTGAAAAATTATTTATTTATGCAAAGAGTGGTTAACCGCACACTTTTCTTTCGTTTACATTCACATAACTTTTATGTACTACATTTTACCTTAAACCACATTTAATTTTTTATTTTCTCATGATAACCATTTCATTTTATTTATTTTTATTTTATTTTACTTTCATTTTATTTTATTTTATTTTTATTTTATTTTATATTTACGTATTTTTAGTTTAATTTTTTTTTTTTTTTTTTTATTTGGGTATGTTTTATTCAAAAGGCATTCAAGCGAACAAATTAACAATTTAGTAATGAATGAACAGGTAAGCCTAATATGCAAATGAGTCGAGCATACATACGCACGTATAATCCCACACACACATACGCACATACATTCACACTTCTCATCGCACCTTTATGCGCTTAGCATTGAGGTAAAAAAGGCTTTTGTATAAACCGCAGCCCACACACACGTAGGTAAGTTTTTACGCACGACTGCAAGCAAATGTCAGCTCCATGAAGGATATACCAAAAAAAACTCCGCGGGCTCGTGCAGGACTCTTAAAGTCGCTTACAATAAATAAATTCCCTTAAGGATTTTCATTTAATGCCGTACTGAGCTCCATGAATTTACATACTTGTACATACATGCATACTTCTTATACACGCTTATTTTTATGTGTATGTAGAAGTCAAATAAAGAGCGCCGCCATCATATTGCCGTCAAAAAAAGCGCACCCGCTACTCGTCAACCAGCTCATTTATTATTAATCAATTAAGACATATTCATACATACTTATATATATATAAACAGAAAACCGACCACCAAAAAGGAAGGATAAAACGAAAAGGAAACTAATGTTGAAATTCAAACATACACTTGAACAAAGCCGCAGAAATATCACACTTTGCACTAGTTAAAGGCGTGAGCTAACCACACGCGCACATACAGTCACGAGCAAAAAGTGTATGATTTTTCTGCAAAAGATTTCGAAAAAGATATATATAATTATGAAAAACTAAATGAAATAAAAAAATGTATAAGACAAATTAAGAAAAAAATTATTATAATTTTATAAAGTGGAATTCCAAATAAATCTTCCACAGAAATTCATATTTTTTTAGTACTGTTACAACAGATCAGATTCCATTCACAAGAACATACAAAACTCCAGCTGGGATCAAACTTAAACGGCAAGAGGCCACTCCACTGAAGAAACATAGCACTAAGTAATTGGGAATTGTGTTGGATATTAAATTCTCTAAGAGACTTAAAATCAAAGAGCGAATGAAAAAGGCATCAGCGGTCCTATACACATGAAATTGGATTTAAATTAAAATCAAATTTATTATATTTTATTTATTTTTTCATTTAATTTTCGTTCATATTATTTTATTTTATTTGTTCTGGTTTCCTTTAATGTATTATAATTCTTATTTTATTTCAAATCGTTTTTTTTTTTTTGACTTATTTTATCTATTTTAAATTTTTTTTTTTTGTTTACTTTAATTCATTTTATTTTTATTTACCTTAATTAACATAATCTCATTTTAATTTAATTCACATTCTCATTTTATTTTATTTTGTTTTATTTTTTTTTTTTTTATTTTATTTTATTTTATTCCATTTCCTTTTGAATTATCTTATTTTACATTATTTTTTAATATTATTTTGTTTGCTTTTTTCATTTTATTTTATTTATTTTATTTTACTATATTTGAATTTTAATTAGGTTTAATTTATTCATATTATTTGATTTGTAATCAACTCATGTCTATTTTAAATTAAATTAACTTTAATTACTTTTATATTATTTAAATTTTTTCCTATTTAATTTTTTTATTTTATTTTAATTTGTTTTATATTATTTTATTTTATTTTATTTTATTTTATTTTATATTATTTTTTTAATTTTATTTTATTTTATTTTATTTATTTTATTTTATTTTATTTTTTCTATTTCCTTTTGAATTATCTTATTTTACATTATTTTTTAATTTTATTTTGTTTGCTTTTTTCAGTTTATTTTATTTATTTTATTTTATTAGGTTTTAATTAATTCATATTATTTTATTTTTAATCCACTCATGTTTATTTTAAATTAAATTAAATTTAATTACTTTTATTTGACTTTAATTTTTTCTTATTTTGGTTTTTTTTTATTATTGTTTTCAATTTATTAAATTTTAAAATTTGCAAAAAAATGCTTTATTTAAAAGTATCTTTATATGTGTTCTTTCCCTCACTGTGCATATACACATGTGTCCGCATGCATATGTATATGTATATATATTCTCATTCTTGACGTATTCCTCACCGCAAAACACTTTGTCGCTCAACTCTGCGCTCTCAAACACAGATTGTCGGTTGATTTTGGGGTTTGTACCAGAAATTTTTATTTGCATAATGAGTGGCATATATTCTCATTTACATATGTATATAACTAAACATGAAAGTTTACGCTGTGGTGTTGTGTGAAAATGGAATCATATTGTTGCTGTTGTAAGTGTGGCCTGATTACTTTGTCGACACCACAAGAACGCGCCTTTGTGGTATGCTAAGAATATGCCGGTTATGCGGGTACTCATTGATGTGCAAACATACATACATAACTACGTAAGAGTATAGTTTGAGATATATATGCACTTTTATATATTCATGTGGTCCAGGACAGCTTTGTGTAAATGCTTAGTAGTGTAGGTGTAGAAGTGATTACGTAAACACCGGCAATGCATAGAAATATTCTTATTTAACTGAGTACTCCCGAATTCATTGAACGACTTAAAATGGTATAGGCCAATAAAATAATAGAAGTTCAAATTAAATTACATACAAATTGAAATATTCAAGTTTCCCCTATTTAAGAAAAAAAAAGTTTTAAAGCCTTTCATATCCATTGAAGTGGAAGTTTTGCATAATGAAGTTTTCCCTTATGTATAAGGGGCTTTAGAAAACACTGGGGCCCTATTTACTGAATTAATTGTAACAGAATTCATTGAGATGAATTGGCGATTGGCCATAACAGGTGCAGGAAGGGATAGATGCTGTTAGATGAAGAGGGAAGCAATTTGCACTTGCTGACAAGCAAAGAGTGTGGCCGAAATGTGTGAATATGAAGAGCTTGAGACGCTGGCTGATAAAGATAACGCGCAAAAATTTTATGAAATGAGTATGCTCATGTAGGAACCAATGTAGAAACTTAGTGACCAATAATCGGAATATACTTAGCGTAGGGGGCGAAAACTTCTCCAGTCTGTAGAATTGAAAAGGCAATACCTGAAAATT